AGGGGAATGAAACATATCAAACCCTTAAAAAATGATGAATAAGTACAGCTCTTGTTCCATGCATTTTACAACATGGTTTCATAGATCTCATCATTTATATGTGTAACAAATTTTTTGTTCATCACAATGATCTTTCTGCTAGATGATGACAGGGCTTACGACAAGTACAAAAAGAAGAGCAGATTCTATGGTCTTTCTTGGAATGATGGGTTCATAGTAATGGAGGTCGATACGATCGTAAAGCTATGTCCTGGTGGCAGAGATGTTAGTGCATTCTATGTAATGCATTACATGAGCAGGATCATCAAAGCCATGAAACACAAACAGGTTCTTATTATACCAACACACAAATGTGTACTGATTAAATTGAACAATGCACTCCATGTTACATTACTATAATGCTGCCTTCGTGTAGTTTGTACTGCTATCGAATACAAGGGAACTAACCACTCGAGACATATCTATGCTTCAAGAATGCCTGGCTACTTTTATCCTCGATGAGGCCATACATGGAGACCACGTGGTGTGTTAATTATCATGTATGGTTGTTAATTAACATGAACAGTTTAAATCATGCATCTCTGTATCCTAGCTACTACTGTCAGCGTATCGTCTATTGTCAAAAGTACTCTTGTATGTGAACATGATGTATGGATTTGACAAATATATTTGCATGTTGTGTCATGTAGCTATTATGGTCCATCTGAACTAATAATTATTGTCAATACCGGATACAGTACCATTCCATAACGGTCTCCGTTTTGTATTGAACCACCATTCTTATGTTGTCAACACCACCGCATCATACAACTATGTGACTGTGAGGAAAGCCTCGTCACTGTCGCAATGTACCATTACCCGGTGGCAAAAGCATCATCAACAACACCGGTCCAACCTATGATGCGGCGGGATCACAAAATCATCACCGCCATCTTGATTAGTAAACCGACACCTAGTACATCCTCTTCAAGGTCGGATCATACTACAAGGCGACGGTGGTAATGCCATTCAAACAGACGGGTAATACATCAGAGCAACGGTGATGATGTCCTCCACATAGGCGGGTCGTGGTACAATGCGATGGAAACAATGACCTGATCACGGATGGATCATAAGCCAACATGGCGGTGTTAGGGTACACACACACAAGCGGGTCATGGTACAACATGATGGAAACAACGACTTGATCACGGACGGATCATAAGACAACATGACAGTGTTAGTGTACACCCACACAGGCGTGTTGTGCTCCAATGTGATGGAAGTAAGGACCTTATCACAGACAAATCATAAGCCAATACGGCAGTGTTAGTGTACACCGCAGACGGTCTCAGATAGCAACGGTGAGGGCTATGACCATCACTGCCGACAGCTTACTGTCGAGGCCAAAATGCGGCTGCGATGGGGGTTACGACGTGGCTGTGAAAGGTCTGAGTGTAGTAATGGTGGAAGCTATATAGGGATGCCCTATACTAAAGACTATCACATAGGTGTGAAGCTTTTTAGGTCTTGCAAGATTCTATCGCTGCTTTGTGAAGTATTTCAGTACCATTGCAGCACCACTAAATGAGCTTACAAAGAAGGAGTACCTTTTACTTGGGCAAAAACACAAGAGAATGCCTTCAACATGCAGAAAGATAAGTTGACACATGCACCTCTCCTCCAAATTCTTGATTTTAATAATATATTTGAGCTTGAATGCGATGCTAGTGGAATTGGTTTGGGTGGTGTTTTGTGGCAAGAAGGAAAACCTGCTGCTTACTTTAGTGAGAAATTGAGTGGGCCCATTCTGAATTATTTTACTTATGATAAGGAATTATAAGCTCTCGTGAGAACTGTAGAGACATGGCAGCATTATTTGTGGCCCAAAGAATGTGTCATACATTCAAATCATGAGTCTTTAAAGCATATCGATAGTCAAGGAAAATTGAATCATACATATGCTAAATGGGTTGAATTCATTGAATATTTTCCTTATGTTACACAAGAAATGGAAGGTGAATATAATTGCTGATGCCTTGTCTAGAAGATATACTTTGGTGACACAACTTGACTACAAAATTTTTGGATTGAAAACAATTAAAAATCAATATATACATGATGGTGATTTTAAAGATGTATTGCTACACTATAAAGATGGAAAAACCTGAACAAATTCGTCATCAATGATGGATTTGTGTTTAGAGATAACAAGCTATGTATTCCAGCTAGCTCTTTTTGTTTGTTGTTGTTATAGGAAGTGCATGGAGGTGGCTTGATGGGACATTTTGGAGCAAAGAAGTTAGAGGAAATACTTGTTGGTCATTTGTTTTGGCCAAGGATGAGAAGAGACATGCAGAGATTTGTTGGTCGTTTCACTACATGCCAAAAGGCTAAGTCACAATTAAATCCACATGGTTTGTATGTGCCTCTACCAGTTCCTAGTGATCCTTGGAAAGATATTTCTATGTATTTTGTATTGGGATTGCCTAGGACTAGGAAATGACATGATAGCATTTTTGTTGTTGTGGATCTATTTTCTATGATGGCCCGTTTAATTTCTTGCCATAAAACTGATGATGCTACTCATATTGTTCATTTGTTCTTTTGGGATATTATTCGTTTGCATGGTGTGCCAACCATAATAGTGTCTGGTCGTGAAACTAAATTTCTTAGTCATTTTTGGAGGACTTTATGGGCTCAATTGAGGACTAAGTTTTTGTTTTCTACCACTTGTTATTCCCAAACTGATGGTCAAACTGAAGTTGCGAATAGAACTTTATCTACTATGTTAAGGGTTGTTTTAAAATGAACAATAAGATGTGAGAAAAATGTTCGCCTTATATTGAGTTTGCTTATAATTGCTCGCTACATTCAACTACAAAGATGTGCCCATTTGAGATTGTTTATGGACTGTTGCCTCATGCTCCTATTGATTTAATGCCTTTGCTATCTTCTGAAAAAGTGAATTTTGAAGGCAAACAACGTGCTGAGTTAATGTTAAAATTGCATGAAACAACAAAGGGAAACATTGAGTGCATGAATGTTAAGTATAAGCTTGCTGGTGATAAAGGTAGAAGGCAATTGATGTTTAAACCTGGAGATTTGGTTTGGTTGCATTTGAGACAGGAAAGGTTTCCTGAATTGCGAAAATCTAAATCGATGCCTAGAGTTGATAGACCATTTATGGTGTTAGAGAAAATTAATGATAATGCATACAAGTTAGATCTGCCTATCAATTTTGGGCTTAGTCCCAAATTTAACATCATAGATTTAATGCCATATTTGGGAGAAGTGGTCGAGCTTGAGTCGAGGGCGACTCAAATGCAAGAACGGGAGGTTGATGAGGACATCGATGCCATCAATACATCCACACCTACACAAGTACAGATTCATGGTCCTATTACTCGTGCCCATACACGTCAACTCAAGTATCAAGTGAGTTCATTCTTGAGTTCTTGTTCATCTTATTTAGACTATGGAAACCTGTGCACCTTTGTTTTGCTCAGGAATAATGGAGATGAACCACAAGGAAGGGGATTCGTGAGGGGTGAATTCGGACTGCAAAACAACACCAACTTGTGACGGTCACCAAGAGTTCATATAGAATCTGATTGGGATGTTATAGAACTTCATGGAAAGATAATCAAGTCTACTTTTCAACGGATCCAACCTCACCCTCATATTACCTAGGAGTTGGCCGCAATGGTCATTTTACTCCAAAGACCTTTTCTGTCCACATGTGCTGCGACACCTATTTTTAGCCAATGGACCATGTATCATGTTGGCTCCATATTGGCCATGTCCTTGGGTTTTAGCACAACCCCAACATGCCTCTGGTCATCCTCTCATGTACTTAAGGCTTATACAGCTGCTGCCACTAGGTTGGGTTTTGTTTCATCGAGTTAGCCATTGCTACCGCCTTTTAGAGCGCGTGTTGGATAAACCGCCTGTCTCGGAACCCCACATCTTATGTTTTCTGATTGAAACCTTCATATTTATCTTGCAATTGAGTGCTTGTTCAACTTGTTCTTGCTTGTTCTTTGATTGCTTGGTCTCTATCTATCAGGTGTGATTTTATGATTAAATATTGTGATGCTATTGTCCTGAAGCTTGCTTTATTTAACCTTTTCTTTCCCTAATATGGTTCGACAATAGCAGCTGTCATATGTTTCAGTTTCAGACAGTAGTTCAATAGCAATTGCAGTCTTTATATTCAGATATTCAGATAGCTCAGAGCAGCAGTTTACAACAGCTTTGGTATGAATTTGTGAAGTGTCACTGTCATGCAACAGCGAATGCACCATTCCTCAAGTAATCATTGGCCAATCGTCGAAGGATTAGTTTATTTCTTTTGCATAGAAGTGAATACTTCTCTTCTCTTCTTTGCTGAATTATTGTGAGTTGTTGTTTGTATTGCTTCGGCGAGGCCTTAAGCAAGTTCGAATCAGTCTTACCGTCAAGATATCACTAGTTGACATACGTGACCTTAAAAATCAGAAAAGTTATGTATTTAGATCAGAGGTGGATCCGGACCGTTTTTGTGGTGTCCTATATATGACACCAGTGGAATTTGGCAATCTCCATCCAAATATATGCTTATTAGTGCATTCCCATGTGATTAGATGATATAGTACCCTGTCACAATATAATGGAGATGACACTGATAGTTTTTTTTTCTTTGGATCCGTCCTGGTTTCAATTGTAATTGAAATATATGTCAAGTTCTAGAAAGAATTTTTATTGGATCCTATCCACCTGTCTGGTCATCTGTTCGGTTCTTCAAATGATCTAAGTCTATCGTGACTATGTCGATAGGGTCCAATGCATTGAGACACTGAATCACTGTAGTGTAAACTAATTAAGGCCTAATGTACTGAGCAACAATGGGTGTGTGGTCATATATATCAAACCTTTAAGAATCCAAGACATAACAATCACAGACAATGTGGTGAAGTTTGCTCGATATCATAGAGGATATATACTGCCTAGCATGTGATGTTGACAGCTAGAGCTAGTGATTATGACGGTGGCGCTGCATTCGATTGGGCAAGAAGAGCCGCTGCCTGGGCCCTGTCCGCGTTGTGCAATCTGGCTTTCAACATGCCAAACTCAGCCGACGCCCGGAGCCTGACCTTGCGTCGACTTCCGTCCACGGTGTCGTTGCCCTTGTTCCCGAGCGTAAACCCCTCGTGATGCGCCACGTACTGCGCGTCCACCACGCCGATCTGCTGCTCAGGCTCCTGCACACACACAAAACATAACAGGTGTATGGTAACCCATTTTTACTTTACATAAGCGCGCGAATATTAGTCATAGCGTTTTCTGTGGTGGTGATTAATGTCCTTTATATATACTGCTGAACAGCGACGAGCCAACAACAGCACTTGTATATATATGTATTAATTATATTATTCTACTAGCATGTACTGTATTATATACTGATGAGTTCTTACGTCGACGCATCTCCAGAAGTTCCAGTCGAGACCCCAGCCGTGAACCAGGTCGTTCTGGATCATGTGCCAGACGCAAGTCCAGGCCTCTCTGGTGAAGACGGGAGCCATCACCTCCACGAACCCGCTGCACGGCCGCTGGTGCACGTCGGTACTGCACTTCCCTGCAGACGTCGACCTGTGTAAACATACATATGTGGCCGTTCGGCCGAGTTTGGCTCAGCTGTGAGCCGGAAGATATGAAAGCTATTGTGAGAGCTATGTGCTATGAAAGAGTTGTAGAATGTTTGGTTGAAACAATTATGAAACCTACACACCCACCTCTTTATCTCCTTTGAAACAGGTGTGAAGCATCTCTCTATTTCCATCCATTTAGAAAAACAGAAAACCAAAATCTGGATCAAGGTGCTACGAAAATACTACACGAAATCAGGTACTTCCAAGAAAACAGCTTTAGGTTCCACCCTTTTGGTTGGCGTGGCATTTTTAAGAAAACAGCTTCAAATTCTACCCTTTTAGTTGGGGTTTTGATTTTTAGCGTAGCAGAATCACTTTCGAAAAGCTAAACGAAAGGAGCCTTCAATGGATTGAGAATTAAAGCAAAGTAGATTGTCAGAACATGCATGCAGTACTCCCTCGGTACTTAAAAAAATAAAGTCATTTTCGACAAGGCTTGGGTCATAAATAACTTTTAAGTTGTTGAGTTTGAAAAATATAAAAACCATATAAATAGATTAGTCTTGAAAAATACTTTCATAAAAATATAGATGTATCACTTTTTGATAAAAATATTTTTATAAAAATAAGAAGTCAAAGTTATGCTTTAGAGACTGTATCGCTATCGAAAACGATTTCATTTTTAAGTACGGAGGGAGTATTAATTACTATTATTAACATGTTCTCGAGTATTAAAGCAAAGTATTGTCAGATTTCTCGCACTCAAAGTGGGGTAGTTGTTCCCGAAAAATCAGCCTGGCCGGCCAGCTTTGTAAGAAACTGTAAATTAGACTTTACAGTTACGTTTTTTCCATTGAGACAATCGAGATGCATAGTCTGGATGAGAAAATTAGCCTCAGAAAGATCTAGAAACGTGGAAACTAGCTCAGTCGGTCTCCAAAACCGGTTGTTAGCCCACAATCAAATTTAATTTTGTATTTCACATGGATTTAATTTATAATAATTTTGACACCCTCACCCCCAACAGAATAAGTTCAGCCTCATGCTAAAAATATAAAGGGCCATAGGAGATTGAGAGTATCCGATCCATCAAAAATAAAATCAATCTACTATTTTACATTTTCTAAACCCTATATCTTTTCAAATCCCATATCTGCCATTCTACAAGCATCCGATGATGTTTGTTGCCAGGTGGCTTGCCTACCCTAGAATAACCCTAGGTCCGCCTCCCCAATGGGCTTCTTCATTGGAGACGTTTTGAGGTATATTTTGGTGAGTCTACCAAAACTAGCTAGGGCTAGCTGGGTTCAGAGATAGGTTATGCTAGTTTTCCCTGACTCTGCAGCAATTTAGTCCTCGAGTGATCCTCTTACGATCCGAGCATGCTAGCTCTTGGGGTCTATGGCTAAGAGTAGTGACTCAAAATGGCCACAAAATAAGTTTATGGCCACTTTGACTCACTACTACAAAAACAATTTTAGGAGACATTCCATTTTATTAACAGACAAAAAAACCTCCGAGTCTCCAAAAATATCTTACTATTTTCTGAGGTGGCCAGTTGATTTAAGAAGACACCTAAAAATCCACTGCATCCGAATATCAATTAACAAAGACATGCTTCTTAAGAGGTCTGTTTCTGAAAATAAAGCCCATTTTCAAAGACAGACCTCTCAATAGGCCCGCCTCTGTTACTAAGCCAAGTCCAAACCTGGCCCATTTATCTCTTCGACCCAAACTAATTCATAGTAGAGGATGCTAACTTTCTACCACATGGCACAGCCACCACATCTTCTCCCTCCCACATGGGCCGCCACTCCCTCGCCCACGCGTCACAGCCACCTTTCCTCTCCCTCTGCACCCTCCCTTTTCTGCTCTATGCCTCTACCTAGGCAGGTAGATCCTCCCTGCCCATGCATGGCAGCGAGGCCGATGCACACTAGAGGTGGCGGGACTGAGGAGCTATGCAGGGGTCGGGGATTACGGGGGCGACGGCGAGATCTCATCACTCGCGGCGCTCCTCTCGTTTTATTCTTGCCCCTCCCTCTCTTCTGTTCTCACAACTTGTGGCGGGTAGGATGCACAACGTAGGGCTTGCAAGATCTAGTGGAGGGTGCACTGGATCCAATGAGGTGAGGGCTTCAATATCTCTTCCAATTTTAGACTGTCGACAATGCCCCTCATGTGTTCTTTCTCTATCGTCCTCAGGGCAAGCAGGTCAACGATGGGCTCGGTGGCTGCTGGCTTCGCAGTGGCTTCTCCCTTCACCAATACCGATTGTCTGGTTTATAGTAGATCGTGGCGGCAGTGGCCCTCTCCTTGGCACCGGTGGCTTGATCTGGAGCAGATCAGGGTGGCAGCAGCCTTCTCCCAAATGCCGGTGGTGGCTTCTTGTGTCATCGGCACCAGCAGCCATGAAGTGGTGGGGCTCTACATCTAGAGATGGGCAAGCTTCCCGGATGGGTTCAGTGGGCCTACACATGACTTGTCGAACTAGTATTTTTTCTACTTTGGAAATTTATTTTCAGAGATGTGCAGACGACCCGCCTCTAGAAATTGTGATTTCCAATGATTGTGATTTCCAATGACCATCATCCAGAGGCAGGTGCGCCCTACGCCTCTAGAATGTGTTTCGCCCATCTTTAACATTGAAGTTTGTGGTAGGAAGTTACCATATTACGATCATATGAATTTACGAGATTACTATAACTCCTCCTAAGTGATTTAATATAACATTATGATGAATATCATCATGAGTTACCATAAGACATGTATCGTAAATATGTATTCAATTACAAAATTATCGTAAATTATTATACGGCCCAAGACATATCAACGTAGATCACATTTGTAATATGTTTTCCTAATCAGTTTAAGGATGGATCCAACTGTACAAATTTGTTTTGTACTAGTACTTGATTTATTTGTGTTTGGGAATTGATTATTTTGTTTTGGTGTAAGTTTTAAAGGACAGAGTTTGAGAGTTGTGTTTGACTATTTGTTAGTGAATTTTGTTGGTGGAATATGTTGTGTTTTTCCTTTGAGAAAGAAAGAAAGCGCTTCTGAATCTATGTAGGTTTTACATGGTATTTATTTTGAGAAATCACTCTATTCTAGATGTGGTGATCCAGCATATGAGTGTATTCATTAAATTTAGTGAAATAAGGTGATGATGGATGAACACATTTCATTCCACAAATTAATTAAAAAAAGTGGATAACGAGAAGATAATGGACTAACTTATTTCTCAAACCAAATGCCCTATAAAAAATATTATAGCGATGATCGATGCGCGGACCATATAAAATGTAAGTATAGTTATTATTAGCTAATAGAGTACTTACGTGTGTATCTCGGTGTCGTTCCTTCTGACGTTGATATCGTAGTTCTTCACCCCCCTGATGATGTCCAGTCCCGGCTGCGAAATCTCCAGCCCATGCTTCTTCACAATCTTGATGTACTCCTCAGCATCGAAGGTCTCGACTCCGAGGTCCTGGTCCCACAGGAAGACGTACTCGTAGGGCGCCACGATACTGGGGTGCATGAACCTCTTGGCATACCACCTACAGTACACACGGATGGATTCAGGCGCTGTTGGCTGCATTGGATAGATGCACCACACCACCAAGGAAGAAGGAACGAACTGTTTGTTGCTAGCTGTTGCTCCTCACCATTTGGCCTGCTTCCTGGCGCTGACATGAATGGCTTGCTTGGACCACTCGAACTCGTCCCACTCTGTCGTCCGACCGTCGTAGTGGAACAGCATCACGTCGAAATCGTCGGAGAACTGCTCGGTGTGTCATATTTGATTGCAAGGACGAATAGTACGTCCATGATGATATTGTTCAGTTTATTACAGCAAACCATCCAAATTTAGCAAGCTATATATCAATCAAGTAATAATAATTATAATAATTATAATGTCTTATTAATTACCTTGTGAACCATCGCATTGACGTTGACTTTATCGCTGTAACCCACTGTCAGCACCACAAGGTATTTGCGAGTGGGGGTGTCCTGCTCATTGCATCGACCCCAGCCACACAAGTTCAGTTCTTATAGCCATATTATACCAAACAAAACAAGTCAACCCACCACGAGGCTGGCCAGTGCTTAATTAATAGATGGATAGGCTTATCAATTCAGTAAAGTTAATAAGAATACAGTAGTTACAAGCAAATGGAAGGAAGGATGAGTGGACGAAGATCATGAGAGAGAGACCTCACGCGGGTGTCCCCAAAGACGGCGCAGGTGAAGATCAGACTCCCGAACAACGATGTTTGGTGGTAGCCGCTCCGCGCCTTTTGGTTTTGATTTTGCCGCCGGAACAATCTTCTCCAGCACAAGAGATAAGAAAAATAAAGTTAACCAACTCTATTAAGTATTTACCGCCAAAGCTTAATTATATGACTGAGTATCAATCCATATACTGTATATAGGAATAATTCCTGCATGGACTTAATTAATAATTTCCGACAAGTTGAGAGTAGTTGTACCTCTGAATCTGAAGTGGCATTTGACTGCAGCAGAGGAGTCCCCTCTGCAGAATTAGAAGTGCTATTTCCGAAGGGTGCTGAAAATCTGGCGAGTTTGTTGCTGCCGCTGACCGTGCAGTTTCCATCACCGAGGCTGAAGAGCGGGAATACCTTTGGTGTGATTTGTACGGGAAAAGAAATGCCGATCAAGAAACCGATTGCTGCCGCAGACAACACCGTAAGGATCGGATTTGATTTCATTCTCACTATTCAATAGGAAAAAGATCACAAGGGAGTATTTGTTAGCATTACCAGTCAAACTCAAATTCCGATTGAAACGTTAAAAGGAGAATTTACATGCATTCAAAAAAGAAAAAGAATGCTGATGATTACGTTTGAGACTTACAAGCATAGACTACTTGACTCCCAGCCTGCTGTACGTGAGTAGTGCTGGTACAAGAGAGAGAGAGAGCCTCAGAACGTACGTCGCAGTGGCAATCCGTGTATATATGATTATAATCCACATGCATGTGCTGTACATCTTCTCCTTATATACTTGCTAGAATGGAAACTCTTCGTTTTGACTTCGATCACAAAAGAGAAGTAGCGAAGTAGCAAAGGATCACTCATGATGACTAGCTTGTACAGTGGAAAAGAGTTTGCCTTAGACTGGCATTCATTCAGAGACGTTCCTTTTCAGGATTCACCATATATAGTCGACTCTCTAGCTACTCCCTACACCATACGTCTAACTTCGTGCTCCTTTAGCTATTCAAAGTAGTCTGTCTTATCCTTCTTAGTATGTTTTTTTCCTTCCTTTTTTCCTGTTGCGGAGAAAGATGGCATTGACAGGCACATGCCCCAAGGTCAACACGTACGGTAACAAGGTTCCTTTCCTTTTGGATGACACAACTTGGAGCGTAATCAAGCCAGTTAACAGTCGTGTACCTTACGTTACCGATGACGAACGACGACACAGACAGAGGACCTCTCGTCCCTGCAGGCTGCAGACCAAGCTTAAGGTCACGTTTCATTCGGTCACGCCAACCAGCCTGTTCGGTTGGCTAGTTCGTTTCGTTGCTGGTTTGTGAAGAAGTACTGCTAGCTGGTTTGTGTGAGAGAAAAATATTGTTCCGGCTGAATATTTACGATCGTTTACGACAAGCCACAGTCAAACGAACAGGCTGTTTGAATGGTACATGAGCTTGTTCCCGTATTTATTTGAGTGTAGGTGCCTCTTATCTGAGCCCTTATTAGTGGGTTACGGGGTACTGAATATTAATCGTAATATTACTAATTATTAAAGGTTTCCAACAAATCCTCGTGAAATAAAAAAATATAAATTCTAAAAATTATCACAATCCTTAGCCCTTAAATTAGTAGACTTTAATCATCACTACCAATAATAGCCGATAGATCTAGTTTGTTTCCTAAAAATTATCCGCCTCTGCCATGATGAAAGATGATTTATAATAACAACAAAAAGGTATATCTAAACTACCCACCTAAGTCAAAAGTAATTCTTCCAACCGCTACCTCATATTCTCAAATCACTGCCGGTTCAAAGCTCCCTGCAGTGCTGGACTTTGAACCAGCACAACCAATCTGGCACTGATGGGGACGTTCACATCAGTGCCGGTTCTTATAAACTGGCAGTGATCACAATTTCACAATTTTCACTGCCAGTTCGTTACAAGAGCCGGTAGTGTTCTGTGTAGCCAACACTGTCCGCTCGTATGACCAAACAGACATTGTTGAGGGCAGCAACATTGCCGGTTCATCACATAGGCTAACAGTTGTTTTTGTGCTCACTGCCGATTGGAGGTTGAAACTGACAGTGTTGATTTGGGCAGCACTGCCTGTTCATCGCACGAGCCAGCAGTGGTAGTTCTATTATCACTACCGGTTTGTGGTTGCAAACCGGCAGTGTTGAGTTAGGCAACACTGCTGGTTCATTACTTAAGCCTGTGGTGCTGTGGCTGTCATCACTGTCAGTTTTTGGTGAACTGGCAATGATCTCTTTTTCGCATTTGTTATTTTATAATTTATTTTATTATTTTTATACTTTATATTTGCTATGGAGACTAGACTCAAATACATCACAAATCCATAAACGTTAATGTTACAAATGTTACGGTAACGTTTTTTTGAGCAAAAACCATGGGAACCCCCCGGCGTGAAGTTGAAAACCAGAACCACAAAACAGTTACAATGGGACCAGCCACCCAGAAGTTGACCAGACCACCACACACACAAAGAAAGAAGAAGAAAACAAGAGAGAAAACAAAAAACCGCTGAAAAATACTACCTAACTAAGCAACCTACAAGACTAAGAAAAACTACAAGCTGGTGAGCCAAGAACTGACAGAGGAGTAAAGAGAAGAATTGATCATGTACAAGTGAACTAAAACTTAATGCTCGAAATTAGCCTTCCAGGAGCCCAAGATAGGGGCTTTTCCTTCAAAGATGAGAGCATTTTGTTCTATCAAAATGCAGTTGGCCACATTCATGAAGATTTCCATGAAAAAAGGATGGGGGAATGTTGGAATTTAGATGGGTTTGGTCCATATAAGAAATCCTGAAATTCCTAAGAAAATCTCAAAGGGCCACTCGTATGTGCAAAGAGGGGATGTTGGAACTCCTTAGTCCCAACTTGCTTGTGGAAGTGGAGGTAGCCATGCTTAAATATGGGAGTCCTCTCCACTTCCTCAAGTCTAGTGAAAGGAGGAGAAAGGGAAGCCCACACACGAGTGTTCACTCGCCTCGCCGGGGCGGGACTGCATGTTTGCACGACACCTACATGAAGGGTCCGCCGAAATCTGTCTTTCCCCCTTGTGGGGGCGTGGCCTTCTTCTGTAGTTTTTAGTTTTGGTTTCTTGGTCTTCAAGTTTGTAGAGTCCTAAATGATTTAGATCGTGATTGTGACACTAGATTAGCTTTTACATGACTATATAAGTAGGATCTTATGTGCACCGGCGACCGGGCGAGCTCATGTCGTGGGGTCAGAACCGTGGCAAGCATTGTTGTTCGAGTCGATGTCAGAGTACGGGTCTCCGGTGGCTCGAGTGGACTCAAGAACACAAGAATCATAGAGAGGATGCAATGGTTTATCCTGGTTCAGGCCAATCGATGCCCTACATCCAGTAGCTAATGATCCTTATACTCAAAAGCATCCAAAATTGGGGGTTACAACAGAGTGTAGAGAGAGATTTGGTAGGGGGTTAGCTTGGTGCTAATCCTAAGGTTGCCTCGCCGTCGGTGGAACCTTCCCCTAGTCGGAGAGGAGGAAGACGATGGGATGCGGTGGAGGAGCACTCGGTGCCCCTCTCTGGGTTGCCTTGCTCTCGATGCTGAGCAGAGGCCAAATGATGGAATGGAGTGGAATGATCTATCTTTTGATTGTCTTATGTCCCCCTAGGTCCGACCTTATCCCTTATATAACGAGATAGGTCGGGTACATAGCGGTTTGGGGAGATGAGTCTACGGTCTACATGCGTCGAAGTCTAGGAGGGCCTTGCTGTGACACGCTGTGGACCGTGGCGGTGTCGGGGCGTCTTCTTCGGTTGGGAACCATTAGACCCAAGGCTTAACATACCTATATGTTAGGATCTTGTCAGGAGCCCCCGAGCCCTTCGTGGCCTCACTTGGCGGGATGGCGACGAAGGGCTAAATTTGATCTTCTGGTGACCGAACCCCCCTTGGCGGGGATGGCTTCCGCTGACAAGAGTGTTGTGCCCTGCTTGGGGCCTTCTTCTCCAATGTGATTGGTGTTGTTTGGCTATCGAGGCCGAGCGATGATGTTGTTGATCCCTTCATGAGTCTATGTCACATAGGTCTTTGACCTGAGCGAGGGCTCGGCGAGCTCGTCTAGGAGTTGCCGACATTAGGGCCGGGGCGACCTCCTTTTTGATAGGGGCCTACCATGGTTCGGGTGATCGAGAGTGTCTGGGCTCTGGGTCGAGGACATCTGATCACCAAGAGCTCCATGCCCTTCTGTGGGCTACGATAGCAAGCCCTAATCCTCTCAAGTCGGCCTTCTAGGGCTGACCTATGGCCATAGATCGGGGTGCATGGAGCATGCCGAGCCTTGGACGGAGGCCCTCGTTGGGCCCATTGCTCAGCGGCTCCCAACCCAACTCTAGGGAGTTGGTTGGTTTTAGGGGTGCATCGCCCGAGCGCCCACCAATCGGGGGTTAAGTTGCTCCATCTGTGGAGCCGGCGTAGCCCCTAAGGCCGTTGTGGGGCCTCCTTATTAGCGGGAGTGGCAGCTTTTGGGCACGTCCCTTCCGCTGTTGCCCTGCGTAGGTGGCTGATGGCGTCTGGGCCGTCATGCCTGGTGGAGGAGTTATGTTGTGTACTCCCGCGCCATCCCACTTTGTTTGGGAGATGGGACGTCGGGGCCACATGGAGCAGATCTAGCGGAGGAGGAGCCACGACATTTGGTGTGCCTGGATCCAGGCCATCGATGACAACTAGTGGGCTCGAGGGGAGTTATATCCCCTCAAGTCCTGTGAGGAGGCGTGCTTAGAGTGGGTGGCGCACGTGGTGGAAAGTGGAGCGGGGTCTTGACTCATTGTTAGTGGCCCCCTGACTCCGCCTTGACTGCGTGGCCATCATCACGCAACCGCTTCAGGGCGTGCTGCGGGGATTGAAGAGACGCCTAGCCGGTTCCCTAAGGCCCCTTCTTGTCACTAATGGCTGATTGGAGGGCCCAGAGCCTCTCACAGCGCATCATCTGGGCTATAAAGGGGAGCCCTGGGGGATGCGGCATCCTCAATCCCTTCCTCTGGCCCCTTTTCTTCTTCCTCTTAGATCTGTCTCTTCAGCTGCGATGGTGGCGATGAAGTGCGACGCTTCCATCTGGGTGAGCCTATCTTGGTCTACCAAGCGATGGCTCCTTCGAGGGTGGAAGGACTCCAGTGAGGCAGCCACCACAACTACATGAGGTGGCAGGAGATACTCTGTGACACTGCACCGATTCTGCTTCATGTAGTGTGGGTGGTTGCCGGTCTTCTCAGCCCTTCATCCATGGCAAGGTCAGCCAAGCCCCCGAGGGCTCTCGGCCTAGGTGCCCAGTGGTGCGGGCTCCAGGGAGGGGGTCAGAGCGGGGCCTGGCCGACTTCCCTCTCATGGGCCTCCTCGCACTTGCACCTGAAGAAGATCCAGGGAGGTTGGCCCTTTCCAACCTAGTAGGTCGACCTTCGCTGCAAGCAGCCTCCTCCCTCCCCGAGGTGGAGAGGTGATCATCACAGGGTCGGGGT